GGACCAGTTTAGGATTTTCAGCATCCTTTTTCAACACACAAGGCAACTGTTTGCTTATCAAAACATCACAGCCCTAGGTTTACAAGCAGTGCACACCACATTTACTCTGAAAAGCTCCTTTAAAGTAAACTTTGATTTCTTATTTGGAAATTATTATTCAGATAATTTTTATTTATAGCATACCCTGGTAATTTTCATTTATATGCATATTAAGTGCTGGAATACACAAGACAGTTTTACTACTTTGTTACAACATTAACAAAATTATGAACACATTAACATAATTTGTACATGGGGGAAAACCTATTGTGACATTCAAAGTTTACAAAGCAAAATTTTGGAGCTATCAGACCTCAACTTACAAATGAAGATGACCGGGTAAGATAGCAGTAATGTAAAAGACTGTCTCTCTTAGTAGTACATTTACAGTGCCTAGCCTTCAAAGTTTGAGACTTGAAAGTTTCAAGCATAGAGAATTTAGTAAGTAGCAATCTCAATGCCAAAGAAGACAACAAAAAAAAACAGCAAAACAAGCTTATCTTCTACATAATGTATCAAGAGAGAGCAAATTTACTCCCCCAGGAATCAGAGGCAGAAAAAGAACATATATCAGGCCACATGGCCCAAGTCATGATGAGCCTTAGTCCCACTGCTATCCCTTTTCTACACATAAAATAAGCTACATCATTTACACTGGCAGAATAAGACTCTTGTGATCATGGCCTGTTACACTGCTCTAGGGACATATCAGACCATTTTGAGCATTGAAAGTGGCTCTTTAATGCTGTTTCTACATTGCTTGTCTACTGAAATCTTTAACAAATGTAGTGGGGGTTTCACCCCATATGGGCACCAGCTTCTTTAACTTGTAATGTTAAGTTAGCAAGACTAAAATGCCTCCACCAATCAAAACATCACTTTTTTACTGTAAAAGTCAGTTTTGATCGGCATACGCTATTGATGCCATTTGACACAAATGTACCGCGAAGAGTTATTATTGCAGTAACTAAACTGTCATACCAGGGTTCCTATTGTAGAAGGCTATGAGAGATCATGGGACTCTGTGGGCCGTACTAACTGTAGTTACACATACTCTCTCAGTTATTGAAAAGCAATTATTTATGCAGTCTGACTGGAAAAAAATAATCAGGTTTAGCTGTTTCAGCATGCTAAAGTTTCCAAACAAAAACCTTAACAGTGTCATTTGCTTTCCTGTGAGGGAAGGAGTACATCCAACTATTCTGGCATTTAGAACATCAACACATGATGAAAGTGTACCACAACATTACTTCAGTAAAGCTGGAAAGTTATTAAACAAAATTGTACGTTGTCATAGATATTAACCTAACAGTTACAACTTGTGACTAAAGCCTAGCAAATTTTATTCTTGTATTCTCCACATTATGCATTAATCTCGTAAGATATGTTTGATTTATGCTTTTGAGACCTTTGCTGTTGTCCTGGGTTTAGCAGTAGCAGTCATTTTTCTCTTTCTTGGTAGCTGGTGCAGTGCTGTGTTTTGACTTTCAGGCTGGGAACAAAGCTGATAAAAATGATGTTTTGGTTTGGCCAAGGACTTTGTGAGCCTCATGCTCTGCCAGGGAGGAGGGGAAGCCGGGAGGAAGAAGAGGCAGGACACCTGACCCAAACTGACCAAAGAGGTATTCCATACCACAGCACGTCATGCCCAGGGGGTAATTGGGAGGTCCCCGGGAGGGGCTAGGTGGACTGCAGGGTTGGAGGAGGTATTGGTCGGTGCTTGGTCGGGCTGGGGGGAGCAAGTTATCGGTTGCCTGGTGATGGGGTGTTGTATTCTCTTCCCTTGTTATTTCCTTTATCATTACTATTATTGGTGGTAGCAGTAGTGATTTGTGTTATACCTTAGTTACTAAACTGTTCTTATCTCAACCCGTGGGAGTTGCATTCTTTTTTATTCTCCTCTCCGGCCCTCCGAGAGTAGGGGGAGGGCAAGAAGGGGGGGGGGAGTGAGTGAGTGAAAGCTGTCTGGTTGTGGTGAAACCACGACAGCTGTTAAAAGCAAAAATGCAGCCACTGTACTCAACCAGCATGCAAAGATTCTAAATCCGGAGTGAAACAAAGTTTCACACAAGAGAACTTCTACTACTTATCTGTATGGCAGTTACTTACTGGTGTATCTCATACTGAACTCAACAGTTGTGAAGAAAAGCAGACCATCAATCTCTGTTAGGAAAGAATTTGACTGAAATTTGGCATGGCACCTTAAAGTTTGTTAAGGCAAAAGTAGTAGTTTCACTGAGCTTGAACTCAGCTTTAAACTTAAAACCAAAACCAATAAAAAACTCCACAACAAAATTAAATATTTGAGGGTTTAAGAGAATTCTGTATTAGCCTACTTGCACTAATAGCAGGGACAACTTAGACATGAGAAGTTCTTTCACATACTAAATTATAAAACCCAGGAGATTACCCTACTATTGGGACGACTGCTAAACCTCACCTTCCAGGCTTCTAAAAGTGAAACGTCAGGATCCCACAGAGAACAAACTCAAAAAACCAAATAGCTTTCAGCGCTCAAGCAAAGCATTTTACTCACTAAAAGGCTGAATATTTCAACATTTTGACAAATAAATAGGAAATACGCATCTACTACACAGCATTCTTTTCTTCTACAAAAAGACAGCAGATGTGGTAAACAAATACTGGTAATATTTCTTATTCAATTGCTTATGAACAACTTTGCATGCAAGTACAAAAAGACAGCAGTGGTGGTAAAAAAAATACTGGTAATATTTCCCATTCAACTGCTCATGAACAACTTGCATGCAAGTATTTAAAGCTCAAGAAAACCCGACTCTAGAAGGCAGCATTTTTTAAATTATTAATGCTTTTCCCCTTCCCCCACCCCCCCGAAAAAAGAAGCAAGTTTACAACAGGGAGAACAATCTCAGCAGTAAGACACACCGCCGCTCACTGACACCAGGAGGTTGAAAAGCGCACCTTTCAAACAAAGCTTTGTTTTCTTTCAACTACCGTGAAGAGAGAGAAAGAAAGCAAACACGGGAACCGGCTGATGCGCCCAGCCGGGATCTCCCGGAGAGCCGGAGCCAAAGGCGGACACTGCACTTCATCTTTCGGAGGAAGGCGGCGAGGAACGCAACGACACGAAGTTAAAAGTGCAGACAAAGGAAGAAAGTCACCCCGACATACTTTCTCGCCGCGAATCGCCCCTGCCGGTTTAACAAGGAATTAAGCTTGCAACTGTACATCGACCACATCCGAAACACCTTGCCGCCGGGGGGTGGAAAATCACCACCACCTCTCTTCCTCGAAGCAGCTCAGGAGCAACCTGCCGGCTCTCGGGAGAGCGTGGCCAACACTCCAGCTCCGGCGGCTGCCGCCAGCCACAGGGGGAGGCACGGGGGGGCAGCCGGGCGCCAGGGCCCGCGACGCCCAGCAGCCACCCGGGCCCGGCGCCGTGGGCAGGCGGGGGCAAGGGGGGCGGGCGCCGCTCCGCAGCCCCTTCCGCCGGCCTCCGCGGCACGAGGCGGATGCACAGCCAGAGCCTCCGGGAGGCCTTGCCTCAGAGACAAAACTTCCCAAGGGGGCTCAAGCCACCTCCTCCCCGCGCCAACAAAACTTGCCAATAACTCGCCCAGCTATTTTGTCCTGTCCCGTCCCGTCTCGTCCACTCCTGCTGTGCTGTGCCGCACCTCTCCGCACCTTTCTGCTTCTCACTGCCTGCGGTACGGGGGCGCGGGACGGGGCCAGCCCCGCACGGTACCCGCCGCGCCGCTCCCCCTTTCTTCCGGGGCCGCCAGCGCTGGCCCGCCGCTGCCTCTCCGCCCCCTCGGGCCGCGGCGCCCCCCGCCGCTGTATTCCTCCGCGGCACTGGACGGCCACCCCTCCGGAACTCGTTTCTGCGGCGCTCCGCAGGCGCGGGCACTCCCGCACCCCACCCCGCCTCTCCACACAGGTCCGGGCTGGCAAGAAGAATACGGAATGTGAAGAGGGGGAAGCAGGGGGAGAGAGAACTACAGCGTAAGCTGCTCTTCCCAGTGGCCCTGTGCCCACTGGGGACAACAGCAGGGCCGGGGGGGACCCCTCATCTCCGCCGCGCTTGCCCCGCTACAGCCCAGCCGGGACGGCAGGGAAAGGGGTTCCGGTCCGGGGACACGGCGGCTTCACGTGTGGCAAAGTTCTCCCTCGGGGAAACTTCTCAGAAACTTTAAAAAAGCTGCTGCCAGGGAACATCTTACGGGAATAGCGAGGGAGACCGTCAGAGCCCGCGGGAGCAGTCGGTCTTTCATTGTGGGGCTTTGCTGTCCGAGGACTGGCGGGTATCCGGAACGAGCCCAGCAGCCGCCACTAGCTCCGGTGGCAGCGAGGACCGCCCTTCGGCGGCCGCAGCGCCTCGGCAGCCGTTCCCCCGTGCAGCGAGCTTGGCCTCACGCCTCCCAGCTGCTGGCCCCGGGCTGGGTGAGACGCCGCTTCGCGGCCGTGCGGAGGGAGGTCTCTCAGTAGCGGCCAAAATTGACTGACGGCTACCGCGGCTTCCAGCCGCCGACTTAAGGAGTAGCGCCGTGTCCCGGCGCCGAGGAAACCGGAGGCGAGGGGAGTGTGCGGAGGGCTGGGGGCAGCCGGGGGAGCGCGGCAGCCCACCAGCGTCCCGGGGAGGTGGTACAGGCTGCCTCAGGCGTGGAAGTAGTGCTGAAGGATGCCTGTCAGCCCGCCAGCCTTACGTTAAAGGCTAATACTCCGAAACAGTTCGCGGAGGATTCCCCGTTCATTAATAAAGTGATCACACTTAATAACGATCAGACGCTTGCCTGGGGAATCCCAACTTAGCGGGCTCACGGTGAAGCCAGGCTGCGGGCGGGAGAAGCCAGCGGGGGCGCATTTACCGCGCATTAGCCCCGCCACGTCTTTTATTAGCCACATAAATAAATAAAGCCAGCTGCATAAGGGGCCCTCCTATAGCCAAAGCCTCGCACGCCTGGGGCTGCAGATCAGAAGCAGCCGACCCGTTCAGAAAGCGCCGGCTTTCAGGCGCAACAACCCTCGGCCAGGAGACTGCGGGCCGCCCAGGCAGTCCCCCTCCACCCCTTCTCCCCCCACCCGGGTCCTGACACCAGCCTCCCGCGGCAGCGACGGGGCCGCAGTTCCGCGGCTGCCGGGCAGGGGGCGCCACGCCACAACGTACGGGCAGCCGGGCACAGCGACGGCAGCCAGCCCGGACTCGGCAGACCGAAGCGTAGCCGGTAGCCCGCGGCGCCGAGCCCGGCACCGGCTGCAGGAGGCTGGATCGGGCAACCCGCGTGCCGCTCTCTCGATGAAGGTGATGGTGGAGCGGGCGGTGCCCTCATCCCCAGGTATGCACAGCTTTGGATAAAGTTGGTATGCCTATATATATTTATGTATATATATAAGCGTACAGAATCATACGTACACTACAGTTACAAACTAGGGGTTCAAGCGAAGACCTCAGTATTTTCAACAGTGCAACAAACCAGAACACCAAAACTCTCACGGGAATCATCTCTCTAAGCACCCTGCTGATAATAAACTCATTAAACAAAGAACTCACCAGACCAGCTGGACTCGGCGCTCTTCTCCCAAAGCCCGCTACAGCTCAGTTCATCTCCGCACGCTTCCTACCACCCCTTTCTTTTTTGTCCGCTTGAGAAAAACCGAGCAATGCTCAGGTGCCCACACACCTCTAGAGCCCGAACCCCGCAGCTCCGGCGCTCAGCGCGGCGCCCGGCCCCATCGCCACAACGCGGCATGTCGGCTCCAACCCATCCGCTGCTCGAAACTTGAACGAAGGTGGGAAGGAAAAATAGAGAGGGGAAAAAAGGAGTGGGGGGTGAGAAGGGAGAAAGGCCGAAAGAGGAAAGAAAAAAAAAAAAAAAGAAAAAAAAAAAGGCGGCGAAAGGCAGAGAGAGATGCAACTTTCTTAAGACATGTCCAGGCAAAGAACGGACAGAGTTGAGGAGTTGCAGCAGCGGAGCGAGTGAGTGGGTAAGCTGCGCCGGATCGCCGATCCCCTCCCTCCTCCTAGATTCCCCCGCCTCTCTCCCTCCCTTCTTCCCTCCCTCTTTCCCTCCGTCTTCTTTCTCACTCAGTCCATCCCCCTCGGACCCTGCTCCCGGCACCACCACCCCCCCACCCACCCCCCTTCTCACCGCTGCAGCGGAGCGCGGGGAAGACAGCAGCAGCAGCGCGCACCACTGCGCCGCCCCGGCTCTGCGCGGAGCCCCTGCCGCGCACCTGGGCCGCGGCCGGCCGTCCCCCACAGGTGAGGCGAGGCCCCCCTGCGCCCTCTGTCCCCTTCCGAGGCGACTCCCCGCGGCGGCCGCCGGTTTGCGGCCCCGCTCGCTCCACCGCCGCCAGTCGGCACGGCGAGACGCCGCTTCCTCTGCCGCACAGATCCTCCTCTAAAATAACCGGGTGACTCCAAGTGGGCTGAGCACGGCAATCCGCGCTCTCCCCCAGCTGCCTTAGCGCGTTAAGAGTAGAACAGTTCTCGCCTCTCCTCTGCTGTCCTTTCAGGGTTTCCTTTTTTTTTTTTTTTTTCTTTCTCTCCTCTTTCCTCTTTTTCCGTTTTTTTTTCTTTTTCTTTTCCCCTTTTATTTCCTTTTTTTTCTATTTTTTTATTTTGATTTAGCCTTTTTTCTTCTTCTTTTCTTCTCCCTCTCCTTCATTTTCTTTTTTCTTCCTTAGCTTTTTCTTCTCCTCCAGGGGGTGGATATAAAATATAGGGGAGCTATATCTTTCAAGGCACAGCAAAGGGTTTCTACACCCCCTCCATCCCCTCCCCCCCCCAAAAACCCCAAAACAAAGTGGCAGCTCCTTCTCAAAAATAGTAAATAATAACCAAGGAAGGCATATTTAAACTGTGGTTCTTCTTTATTCAAAGTAACCCCCAACAAGTTGCTCCTCCTTGACAAAGACCAGGAGAGGTGTCACAGCTAAATGACCAGGGGTCAGCTAAAAGCAGGGCAGGGTAGGTCCTGAATGTGGGGGTTACAAAATTTTGGGAAAGCTACAGAAACCATTTAGAAGTTATTTATTTGAGAGAGATAGTGTAACACTAATTTTGTAAATCACGCCCAGATTCCCACAAGGTAAAGTATTAATTTGTAACAGGATTTATACCTAAGGACCTTAAAGTCACGGCCTTCCTCCAGAAGTCAATTTGACTTCTGAAGACATTGTATTATTTCCTATAAGATACACCACTAAAACCTATAAGCCATGTGAGCATGCAGTATTCTCTGTTAAGAAGAGCAGATACAAACTGCAGCATATAGATTCTAAGTACATTTCCAAACAGTGCATACAAGCCAATTCAGCCTTGGAATGGTCACTTTGAATGAACCTGTATGGAAAGTTTAATGTCAAAATTCTCTGGCCTCATAGGTTTCCACAACAGACACAGCTGATTGATTTACTTAGCATCTCAGAGTTACTTTTTGAAGACACTAAATGGAATTATACTAGGTACTTATCCAAGTGCCACTGGGCCAAATGATCTTTCCTTCTGTGAACACAGCTTCAAAGTGGTCTTTGTAAAGTAAACCACATTGCAAATAGCATTCCAGAAAAGAGCTAAAAGGGGAACACTTTAAAGGCATTATAGTTAAAGGCTATAAACAAGTGTAAACCACAGTTCTACTCAGTACAGTTGCAAATATTTCATAATTTTGGAGTATATAATTTGCTACCTTTCAGCTTCAAGGCCATGTTATGGTTGATTGCTAAGTAACTAAAGGCCAGAGCAACAGATTGCTTAAGCCTTTGTCTAAACTTTAATTCTCAGTGCTTGGAGAAGTGCAGTGGTGGTCAATTGCAATAACCTCATGTACGAGGGTGGGAGCATCTCTCAAAATTAGCTGGTAAAGCTAACAAAAATTCAGGGCTTTCTGGATTTCCTTCTATATACATGCTATGCTGACAGTAAGTACTTTAGATGAAGAAAAAAGGGATATGCCGTCACTTTCCAGTGGTGGGTAATGGTGCTTAGAGCCTCAGATAAAGTGTTGGAGCCAAGATGCCCAGCTAAGTGTATTCATAAGTCTTCTTGATATATATATGTAGTTTTACCTTCTAAACCAGGTTTCTAACATAATGAATAATATTGACAAAGTTATTCTGATAGTTACTGAATATTCCATGTTTATTTCATTTCTTCTCTGTCCTTTGATTTTTATTCTTGGACATAGTGTCAATAAAGCTGTTAAAGTAATTGTTGACTGTCACATTCAAAGATTAATCTTCCCAGGGTATCTTTTTTATATGTTATCCTAAGGAAAATTAATGTATTCTGTTGCATTTTAACCTATAGGTAAGGTACAAAAGAGAATACTTGAAATCACACTTCAGTGCCTAGGGCACCATGCACTTCTCTGAAGGACTTCCAGTCTTAGAACCATTGTAGCAAAATGTGTTTGGTGCTCCCTGTCATCTACTGACATGTCCTGGTCCTTATGAAACTGCCTAAGCTGAAACAAGTTTTGGCTCAGCTGTCACTAAAAAAAGTAGTTCTCTGGATTAGACAGTTTAGTTTTGAGAGAAACATGGATCCTTCAAGCTTGGAATTATTTTCCAAAAACTGGAATAGAAATCTGGTATCAGACTACCAGCAAGCACTGATGTTAGAGAACTCTTGTCGTAAAATAATAAGACAACCAGAAATTATATTCCTACGTAATCAGAATCATCATTTCCCTGTGAGGCATTATGTCTCTCTAATGTGAGACATTCTTCTCTCTAATCTACCTCAAAAGTAGCCTCGTAGATCTCAACTCTTTTCCTATGTATTTAACAAACAGGAGCTGATAGATCAACTGAGTAGGTCAATAGATCGGAAGTAAATAATGAAGTCAAGTGTCCTCCAGAGAAATTTTCCTGCTGCCAGCCCCAGCAATGCACAAATGCACATGGGGATTGATATCTTAAGTACTTTGGACTGACCTCTCAGCTACCATTTTTTGGGGGGGAGGAAAGGTTAATTTCAAATTGTAGGGACTTCAGCTGCAAAAAGCTTTCAAAGTCAAAATCGGCCCTTTGAATTGGACTGGCTCAGAGATGGCAAAGGCGAGGATAATTATGGCTTGGTCTCTATGAGGGTGAAACAGTGCAATTGCTACACCAAGTGCAGCTTCCAAAAAAGCACTTCTGAACACAATAGCAGCCAGTGACTCAGGGGCAATCAAGGGCCCATAAACATTGAGCCTCTGTGGCAGAGGGCAAATGCATCTTCTCAGTAACGAGGTCAGGCGCAGTTTCAAGCAAGTTCTCCGCCAGTTAAATATGAACTGATCTGATATAGGTTTTAGAGTAAGAATAAAATTCTCTACAGTATAAAAAGCTAGCACAAAACCTGTGCCCTGTCTGAATCGCGGTTACATAGAGAGGAGGTTGATAAGCCAAAGCTCTGCTCTGGCCATTCCCCTCTTCCTCTCATGGCCCCAGTGTTTCAAGAACTCCCCAGCATGTCAAATAGTTGTAGCCTTTGTAATGCAAAAAACCTCACCCAAAATAATTCCTGAAAACCTGATAATCATCCTTTCCCTGGCCTGTAGCCAAGGATGTATACTCATTTACCACTATATTGTTTCCGCTTTTGTAAATGCAGACCTGGGGAATAAAAAACAATTCTGCCTTTCTGGCTATTCTTGCCTACTCTCTGCAAACTTGAGTTGAACCACAGCTGTCCACTTCTCTCTTCCCCTGCCCCCTTTTTTTTAGAGGGGAAAAGGTGGCAATTTTTATGAGAGTCACATTTGAGAGAGTGCTGGCATTTTTCTACCTAAACCAAACTGTTGTAAACCCCTTGAAAATCTTTAGTTGCCTTTGCATGTATCTCTTTATCTGACAGAATTTGAGCAAGAATATTTAACTTTTCATAGTTTAATTATTTTTATTGACTTATTTTTACCCTAGAGAATTCTTACGGCATAAAATATCACTGACTATTTGATTAGGTACCCTTTCACAGTGTTTTTCAAGACTTTCAAGGCA